AGAATAGAATAGAATAGAATAGAATAGAATAGAATAGAATAGAATAGAAGGAGGAGGAAGAGAAGGAGAAAAGCAGAAGCAGAGAAGAATATCATATAATGAGGAGAAAGAGGAGTTTTTTATTATCTCTTTTGAACGGTGTGTAAATGTGGTTTATCTCTATGTGTCTATTGATTTATTGACACATATAAATCAGAACACATCCTGTCCAGCAGCCCAGATAAGCAGAGACCAGACAAACAAGCAGGAAACAATGCTCCAATCAAAGAACTGCCAAGGAAAAGGCCCCACACTCCACCAACTTACACCAAGGGAATCTACCGTATATAAACAGAGAGCAAACCCCACAGCTTTCAACAATGAGGACACTGCCTAGTTAGGTCATGAAACCACCGCAAGAAAACAGCCAAACTCAAGAGAGCACCAAGGAATCCACATTTCAGTCAATTTTAAGAAATGAAACCTAAAAAAAAAACCAAAAACGAGGTAAATCAGGGAGTCTAACCCTTATTAAAGACGAAATCCATGGATATCATGTTTGGAGTGCCAGAATGAGCATTGGGAAAGTTCGCAAAAGTTTGCCATTTCAATTTCTTCCTTCCCCGGGAAGTCTCTTATCAAGCCAGAACACCCCCAATTGCCCAAACAATTGTTACCAACCTGCTTTCCATGGAGGACCTGATCTGTATGCTGCACAAGTCAAAAAGAGGGCTGTGACAATATCTACATCCTGGACATAAACTGTTTCAACTCCTACCCTCAAAACGACATTATAGAGCACTGCACACCAGAACAACTAGACACAAGGACAGTTTTTCCCCCCGAACGCCATCACTCTGCTAAACAAATAATTCCCTCAACGCTGTCTAACTATTTACTAAGACTGCACTACTATTACTATTAATCTTCTCATCACTCCTTATCACCCATCCCCTCCCACTTGTGACTGCATGACTGTGACTTTGTCGCTTGTATCCAAACGATTTTTATTGACCGTTTCCTAGTATGATTTGATTGCTTATTGTACCCTATGACTATTAAGTGTTGTACCTCATGATTCTTGACGAATGTATCTTTTCTTTTGATGTACACTGAGAGCATTATGCACCAAAGACAAATTCCTTGTGTGTCCAATCACACTTGGCCAATAAAGGATTCAATTCAATTCAAAAAGGGAGGGTGGGATTGAAGAAGAAGGCTATGAAGATGTGAATTGCTCCAGAATGAGGCATGCTTTCTTTCTGTGGAGGGAACCTATCCATGTCCCCAACAGCTTTCAATGCGTGTCTCACACAGCTCAGGAGGGATTGCCACATTTTTTGAAATATTTTCAACACCCAGAGGATGAGAGGAAAAAAAAACCTTCTCTTCCATCAGTTTCGGCTCGTTGATCGTAACTTCTGATCTTGGCTACTTTTCAAACAAACCGTATCTTTGCTCCCAAGCTGCAGGCTTTGTCTTCTCATTCCCCTCCGAGCTTCATTCAGAAACCTCCTGGTGTGTTCCATCTCATTTGTCCAGCCCCAAATCCTCTTCTCTCATTTGCGGAAAGCTTTGCCTTGCCACCCAATCTCATCCTTGCCAAAATCA